ATCATGAGTTAAGCAAACAAACTTGGCACACAGATACATCTAAGTACATCTACTAAAGGTTCTCATCTACCATATCACATATTGTAGCGTTATTGCATTGCCTAGCAACCAACTACCAACCGTGTATGAGCTTATGCACCCACAATATCTTATAAAAGCACACTAGCATTTTAATTTCACGAGAGTAGCATCTAATCTGTATCCACAAAAGCTGACGTACGCATTGTTACTTCGTAATGCCATCGAGTTGCCCAGCAACCACTTAACAACAGACTAAAACAACAGTGGAGGAGGATCTCAGCAGTGCGTGGAATCCACAAAAATGTGCTAATTCCTCTAATTCATCATAGTATATACAGCACAAACAGACCAAACAATACTGTATTGTGACATTGTAATAGTAAAATATTATGTAGTGCTTTACGGTTGTGAAATTGGCTACAGGTTAGCAACATTTAGCACTAATATAACTTGTCAAAAATAATCACAGAACATTTTAAATGCAGGACTGAGACTAATGAAATAGTTTTTTCTCATTTAAGATGGAAAAAATAACAGAAGCACAAAATCCTTATGATGATTCAATTTCAATGAACTGTAACTGTGTGTATATTAATTCCAGTCTTTGAATCACTGAATCATTTTCCATGTCTTGCATCTACTGAGTTCATGGATGTATTAAATGAGTATCAACAACTTTTTCACACTTTCAATCATTTGCAAACGGAAGCTCTGACTCATAAAGCACCTGAACCTGCAGTGATGCAGCGGTGGAAAGTCCGGGAAGCGGAGACTGACCGTGAAACCGAGTTGAGTGACGCCAACAGCGGCTCGCCGGGAGTTGCGCGACCGTGCCGATCCGCGGCGCTATTCTGCGCTGCGCAAACCCTTTAGCAGGCCCTGTCCTGTCTGCCGGTCTCTCCCCTCGCCTTTCTCCTGTCTGTCTCTACAAGTCTGTTTTTCTTTCTCAGCAGACCACTCCTGCCAAGATCGAGGCAGAAAAGCAAAACGCATCCTAAATCGTCCGGGTTTCCCCCTCCCTCTCAAACGGAAAGAGGAGCTCACACCAAGTGTGTGTGACGGCAGAAAGCGTACATTAATCTGACTCCTCTTTGTTCTGCTGGCTCAGAAATGATCTTATCGGACCAAAGGGTGTATTTATTTAACATCAATAGTTGACCCACCCACTGTTTTTTTTGACAGAAGAGGGGTTGCGAGTGCCTTTTTGCGGCATGTCGGTTGTAAATGCCGTTTCTCACATCGCCACCCGGTGACTGTGGAGAGGTGTGTGTATGTGTGTGTGTGTGTCTTTGTGGTGGGGGGGGTATTTTTTCCGTTTACACCTGAAACAATCCCCCGACCATCCTCCGTGTCCCCAGTCACACATCCTCCCCACAAATCTTCAAATCTGGAGATTTCCTCAGCCATAAAAAACAAACACACCACGGCAGAAATCTCGTATGTCTCCCCGGCCGAGTGAGCTGCAGTTGTTTTCAGCTCTCAACCCCTCCGTGTGACAGAGAAGAAAAGCCTTCCCTTCAGACGTGCACACAAAAAGAAAAACTGGAAGCAAAGCAGCACGGTCGACGGTTAAAGTGCCATTAAATGTTGTGGTTTTTGCTGTCAAGACGTACGTTTGACACACACACACACACACACACACACCAGAGGATAAGAGAGCCTCAGTCCCCCTCCTGTCGTGGCAGAAACGCTCATAAGACAGTGACTTTGGGAGGCACAACATGTTAAAGAAAATGTTACTGCCGTGACAAGACCCAAAGCAGCCCGCAGAAACCCCATCAGAGCACGGCAGAGGTGCGCTTTGTGGTTCAGTTTCTCCGTGACTGGGTGAACTTTATATCGAACATATATTAACACTTTGTGGCCTGTTTTTTTTCCCTCCTCTCAGGCTGGAGGACTCCATTTTGAAGGGACCGGGTGTGCAGCCAGAGAGACTACACAGCAACTCGTCTCAGGAAAGGAAACCCTTCTGTTTTTCCGGGTAGACTGCTGCACCATTTCACAGCCTCTCAGACGTGGTGGTGGACATTTTTGTTGATTTATTTATTTTTATTACTACTCGTCTTATCTCCAGGAGCATGTGAGCTTGCCCTCACATGCGGGGGTTGTGGTGGTGGTGGTGATGAAGAAGATGTCAGTTGTTGGCACAAGTTTGGCATATGGCATGTCATTGATGAAGGCAGCCCGCTTTGGTTAATAATTGATGCTTGTAATTAAGAAGAGGGGCGGGGCGATTTTTTCTGAAGGTGTCGCGTGGTCGTCCGGTGCGTTTTTTTTGTTTTGTTTTGTTATGGGGTTTTTTGGTGGCTGACAGCTCAGATTTTTCTCCTCTCTTTGTGTCTTTTTATATATCTTTTTTCTTAAGGAGAAATTTACGGCCCCCTTCTGTGCTCCATGCTTTGGACCGGCTGGGGAGGGAGGCAGTGGTGACGACTGGCAGTGCGCACAGTAGAGATACTGACTTTCAAGGGGCAAGGCAGAGTCTGCGGGCAGGAAATAACCATGCAACAGAGCAAACATCCATAGACTGAGGAGGTGAGGGGGGGATTATAAAGTTGTAGTTATCACAAAGCAAAGGGGGAGTGTCGCTGGAGGAGCACAACACGCCTGAATTTCTATTCCGGGGGCCGCTGGACCAGGCTTTTTAGCGCATGTTGAGAGGAGGAGGAGGGAGGAGGAGGTGGAGGGAGGCTGTGGAGGGGGGTTAGAGAGTGAGTACGTTTCACAGGATCCAGGCCTAGTAGTATTGCCGCTGGGACTCTCCTCATCCGCTTTCAAAAAATTGGAAATTGACACATTTAAACGCCAAAATGAGCGGGGCGGGGGTCATTTTTGCGCTGGCCGACAGTGGAATGGTAAGATTCTCGCGACACAACCCGTGTCATGTGGCGTTTTCTGCGTGATTTTGCTGTTTGATGCACATAGCCTGCATCTGTCGGAGGGAAGCCCGTGGAAGTGTGTGTGAGTGTGTGTTCGTGAACTTGTTGTGTGTGTCGTGGTCTTCGCATGTTATGTATTTATGTGTCTTGTCTGTCGTGCATTCACTGAGCCACTGGAGAGCAGCGAACGACACGAGACACACACACTCATGCAGCTGCACACAGACATACAAAAACACACAGATATATGTAGATGCAAACGCGCACACGCCTTTTGGGCACGCGCACGAACGGGTCCATTTTAATTCGCGTTTTCAGCGCCGGCGCGTGAACGCGGGCTTGATTTTCTTTTTATTAATTATTTTTTTCCCCCAACACGACGGGATGTGATAATGTCACCGGGTTTATTGATACTGTAGCCATGCGTGCGAGTTTACAGGCTGACCTTATCGCGCTTGATGTCATTTTCATCATATCGCGATAACATTCCTAAAAGGATTTTGCAGCTCGACGGCGGTGTTTGCGCAGAATCCCCTCTTACAATGACACGTTATTATTTCGACCTTCCCGTCGTCAGTGAGTCTGTTTACGTTTTTTTTTTTTTCTTCAAATTTTGACACCACGGGAAGGCAGGCTGTGTTGTCTTTTGCGGATCTCGCCTCTGTGAGCTGTGCCCTTCCTCTGCCACTTTTTTTTTTTTCAAATATCTCATTACTCATTACTGCTTGGGATAACTTCAGATAAGCTCTTATGACGTTTAAGTGACTGAAAGATGTGCAGAAACAAATTTTTAAAAAATGGCACAAATAAATCAAAGAAAATGACAGCCTTGAAGAATCAGAATGGATTTTAATGTACAAGGCATCTTCCAAAGTCTTTATGTTTGGAGTTTCCGTTTAATGAAAGAAGGCCCTGCATTGATTATTTTGTCTTCATGTTTCAGGGAGGAGTCATGCCAGCATGAGTGGGCCTTACACAGGCCCAGGAAGGGAGAGTCATCAGACCAGCTGCCCTTTGACCCCTGGGTGTGACCTCACCGCCCTCTCCTGCCCCTCCAGACGCCAGGATCACAGGCTTGGGCTAACCATGTCAGCAGGCACCTCCTCACTCAAACATGCTTCCTCTATCTATGGGTTCACGACGCAAAGGGACCACTCCTCCTCGTCCTCCCCCTCGTCTTCGTACAGTCCTCTCAGGAGGCTCCAGCATCTCACCACCATGGTGAGCCAGCCTGACCTGGTCTTGCCGCTGCGGGAGCCAGAGAGGGGCTGGGAGTGGGGGACACATAAGAAGAATAGGGAGAATATGGAGAGGGACTCCTGGGCTGATTGCACTAGCAGGGATCACTCTGGAACCCAGGTTACAAGCCGAGAGGCAACCGTTGTTAACATTGCTTCCAAAAAGAAACAACCCGAGGTCCAGACGGGAAGTAGAGACACACCGGCGCCTAATTATACTGATTCTGTCACTTCGGAGAAAAAGACAGAAAACTGTTTCTCCGGCCCACCCAGTCCGGCCTTCTCCCTCGACAGTAACAGTCCCTTTGCGAACAACTTACTCCACTTTGAATCCTCTTTGTTTGAGGATGACGACAATGACATGGAGCGGAGGACCGTGCCACCTCTCAGTGGCATTCAGGAGAAACGGGAAAAGGTGGGGAATGTACTTCAGTCCGCCTCCGGAGACGTAAACTTGCACTCCAAAGACTCTTCTCTGACAACAGCTAAAGTCGTCACCCGCTCCCAGTCCTCCGGTCAGCGCAGGAGATACTGGGATGGCTCAGAGGACGAGTGGGACAGCGACACCGAGTTACTGCTATTTGAGGATAGCCCCTCAAGGCATTCAATGGCAAGTTTTTCCCCTTCTAAGTTATCTCGTCATGAAACAGCAGCAGTTCAGAGGTTTTTAGAAGTAGCAACGGCTTTTGGGTATAGCCAAAGGATTGCTGGCGTTCACCTGGCTGGGAAATACTTTCTCCGGAGCTGGATTACAAAACTTTTTCCGCACACAAACCTTGACCGTGACATGCAGTGGCTCACTGCTTGTAACCTGTCATAACAAATCACTGGTTATTTTAAATGCTGGCCTGATGCAGACAAACGCACAGCTCCACGGCTGTTGCCCTGCCTTTAACAAACCGCAGCTGTCTGTTTTTAAAAAGCAGCAAAAGGATAATTTTCACCTCCACCATAGGTGTTCAAGCTGAGGGCAGAACTGAAGGGAGGGCGTGGAGGGTGAAATATGATGCCAGCAGGGCCGATGGCTTACTGACGGCATGCTTAGCTACAGGGCCTGCAGTTTGAGCTGTAGCAGAGGACACACAACAAAGGCTATGGAGGCAAATTACTCAAAAGCTCTTATTTAGTTTTTGTTGCGATTTATAGTAAAAAGGGGCAGTTCTTTCACAAATCCAATTTTAAAATACTCCTTAAAACTGCAGAACCTTTCTAAGAAGTTGCCTTTACCATCACAGTAGTCCAGTTGTACTCATCAGTATCAGTGTGAATTTTACATACTTCTACGATGCATATTTCCAAAGTGCTAAACAAACACTGAATAAATAGTCCACAGTTAACCCACTAAACCCCCGGTACCATTATAACCATCCTATAAAGCACACGATTAACTGTAGGTACCAGTTATCCTAAAATCTATGACAAAATGATATAAGTGTCAAATTTCATTAATATTAACTTCACTGTTTGCACTGTTTTACATGTTTTTATGACTGAAAGCCTCTGTGGGCTGCCTTCTTTAGGACACCGATAGGCTCACATAACAATCGATATAAATACAACACAGCGGATGTTTTCACTCAGTACGGTATATTTAAAGTAGGATACAAAGAAAGTCCATACCATCCTCTCACATGCACAACTTCAAAAGCATGACCACAAAATCCATTTGAAGGCACCATTTGACCATCAACCAGCATCTGGACCCTGAAACTGAAGCATCTAAATGAAATGCAGGTGTCATTTAAGAAGGAGGTTCCTTCCTGCTAAAAGGGAGTTTTTCCTTCTCACTGTCGCCAAGTGCCTGCTGATAGGGGGTTGTCTGATTTTTGGTGTTTTCTCTCTGTTATTCTAGAATCTTTACCTTAGAGTATAAAGCACCACGAAAACAGCTGTTGCTATGATTTGGTGCTTTATAAATAAAATGTTATTTAATTCCTACAGTGACCTATCAGAATGTCTTAAAAACCCATAAAAGCCCCACACACATTTGCAGACATGATGGGACATTGATGGCAGCCTCACAGGAAAGCCGTGTTCGTGAAAAATTCAGTTTAGTTTCCTGTAGTTTAAAAGAGTTTTCCTCAACTCAAAGGAGGTATTTGAATTAAATAAATTATATAATACATAATGTGTTCGTACCTTTAGAAGTGCTGGTAAAAGGATTAAAAGGCTACTTTGGACAGAGCTGGGCTAGCTGTTATCAGTAGGCTTAGCTCTCATGTCCTGGCTTTACCCCTGTGAAACTGTGTCAGACATGTTGGATGGTTATTTAACTAAAAAATTATTTGGCTAGTTGTAGTTATGGCATCTTAACCTTTTAGTAAAGTGACAATCTTAGAGGTTTTCATTTAAGTAGCACCCTCTGAAGCTATTCCCATATTTTATATATTTGCAGCGATGTGAACTAGGTGTCAAAAAAACAAATAAACAAAAAATGCCATATTGAGTTCATGCTAATTTAAGCCAAGCCAAATCCTTCAGCTTCAAATTAAAAGCATTTAAAGGTTAAAAAACACATGATGTCAATGAGTTGAGCTTTTACAGTGGTCACTTTCTGCATTTCAGAAGAAACATTGGAGTATTTTGAAATTGAGATGCATCTGCGGTGGTGAAGAGAGAGCTGAGTGTGAAAGCAATGCTGTTCATTTACTGGTCAGTTTTTGTTCCTACCCTCATTTACCCCCGTCAGGTCTGGGTAATGACCAGAAGACTGAGATCCCGGATTCAAGTGATGGGAATGAGTTTCCTCCAAACAATGTCTGGACTTAACCTTAAAGATAGGGTAGGGAGTTCAGTCATTTAGGAGTAGAGCCAACAATCTGTAGCGGTGGTTTGGGCAGCTGACGAGGATCCCTTCTGGACACCTTCTAGGTGAGGCGTTCCAGTCATGTCCTACTGGGAGGAAGCCTCAAGGCAGGCCCAGGACACAGAGATTACATCTCTTGGCTGGCCTGGGAACACCTCTGTGTCACCCTGGTTGGAGACGGTGGCGGGGCACAGAGAGGGCTGAGCATCTCAGCTCATACTGGTGCCTCAGATAACTGGCAGAAAATGGATGGATGTGTTTTGAAATATTGCAGGGAGTAATAAAACAAGAAAAGCCACAGTGACCACAGTGTGGTTGGTTATCTCCACCAGGTAACCAAGCATTACTTTCACTATTCCCTGTTGTTCAAACTCATGCTGCGTGCAGCTTAAAATCAGGTCACAGTTGGCATGCAGAATGATGGAAAAAGACAGGCTGCCTGTCAGCTTTATTCAAATGCCAGTAGTTTGTTTTTGCTGGCCAAGAAATCTGTGATCTATAGCGTAAAATCTGCATTTGCTGTTCCCACTATCACCCGCTGCAGTGATTCTCACACTGTGAGGTGTAGCGCCACGGCCGGATGGATGGGGATGACCAGGGGAGGGAAATATGACAAGAAATTAGATTCTTTTTCATTTTCAGTGATTTTTTTTGTTTTTTGTTTTTCTCTCTTAGTCTAAAGTATGTCATGCCAGAAAAAGGTTGAGAACTAGCACCCAGGCTTTTAGATTGACACCTTAAGTGAGCTTGTCTCCAGTGCTAACGGTTTTTCTGTCACACAGCTCTCTCTGGAGCCCATAAAGCTTTATGAGACTTTATAGCCATACATCCTATAAAGTCTCATATATGAGCACAAACTAATAAAAAAAAACTTTGCAAACATTGCAAAATACAACTAGTGACCATTTCTGAATGCTATATCGTTTTATTTCACAATAATCCAAAATAAAATGCGTAAAATACTTTTTTAAGTGAAATTCTTGGTCACGGAAATGAAGAAAATAACTTTTTCATTCAACACTCATTTTGAATTGAGTAAGATATGAAAAGTTGTATCAGAAAAACAAAAATCTGTAGATGGAAGCAGAAACTTAAAATTTAATATAGTTATATTACAGGTCTTGCAGCCTCCCGTAGCAGTCGTAGCATTAAAGTGTTAGGGTCTTGTATCGGACTACTGATCATGCAATGTGGACACGGCGTCTTGGCCTTACAAGATACTCACGTGAAATGAGGCACTAATCTCATTTTTATTACCCCGAATTGTTTTGTTGTGTTTATTTTTATTTATAAAAAGATTTGCATTGGTGCTTGTTGCATTTTGAATGCCTCTCGGTATATTTTAGGCTTAACCTGAATCATCAGACTCGTCCGGGGCAGTAGGTCTAAAAAATGAGAAATATGCTCATGTTTTTAATTTTGTGGTACAACTTGTGATATTTGCTCAATCCAGCATAAAAAGTTGAATGATAATAGCATTTTGTTTAATTTTTGTGATAAAGAAAATCATGTTAAATAGTATTCTACATTATGTTTTGCATTATTGTGAAATGTAACTATATACAATGCAGAAATTGTCTTTTGCAAAGTGAAGTTAGTGTGTTTTCAAATATGGGACTTTGCAGGAGTCGTTCATTTTTTATTTTATTTTATTTTATTTTACTTTCTTTTTATTTCAGCTAGCTTATACTGAGAGCTTTTTTAATGCACCTGTCCCAAACTGCAGATACTGATTTAATTTTGTGATAAGAGAAGGGCAGTGAACATAACAGCCTTAAACCTTAAAAAGTTTTTAAAAAATCAAGGTCAAAAAAGGCCCAAAAATGGAAAAAAAAAAAACCAATTCAAAAAAAATACATGTTTTATATAAGCTAAATTATGTCTAAATTTCAAACCGTGACATTTTCAAGAAAAATCAGAGCTGATTAACCAGAAAAAATTCAAAAAAATTGATGACTTGAGATGGAATGACCCTTTATTTTTACACAGGGTTAAATCATAGCAGCTCCCAGTATCAGCCCTCTGGTCAGTCCTGCTACATGCCAGTCATAATTCAGGCCTGCTCATGTATCTCCAAGTTCAGCCTGGTTACATTTACACAAACAATCCAGCAGCTACAATTGGTACTGGGTTTTGGTGTTTCCATGCTGAGGTTTGTGTCACGGTTTGAACTGGACATGATGACAAGTTAAAATTAGACCACAGAAAAGGTTTTTGGAGGCCGTTGTTGGTCAGAAACGGAAACTTTTGGTTAAAATATAAAATGATAGTAAATCCTTTTCATATCTGTTTGTGTGAAATATATCTTTGCTCTTGTCTGTTATATCTTCTGTACTGTTCTGTTAAGTGAAAATGATTCTTTTACTTATATTTCCCTCTTCATTTTTCTGTTGTCAGCCTCAGAGCAGCCTCAAGAAAAAGTCTTTGCCACCTGTGAAGTTTGTTGAGGGTGAAGTCGTTTGGGCAAAGTTCAGCCGGAGACCATGGTGGCCCTGCGAGGTGATTGTCGACCCCGTACAAGGAGTCTATCACAGAGCGAAAGGTGGGCCAGGAACATTGTTGACTTACTGTGATAACCCAAGCCGGTGCTTGGTAAATGAGTAGCTTTTAATTGTTCTGTGCAATGGTTTGGTCTCTTAACTTCAGCTGGTGGTTACAGAATGAATCCGTGAGTCAATTAATGGTGATTAACAGCACATACACAGCCTGACGTTGAGGCTGTTTGAGATATATTTGATTATTTTAACTTCTTATACTGGGGTTGCCAACTTAAACTACAGGTTGCAGTGAGTGTGGGAATTTTGGAAGAAAATTATGAGGTGTGGTAATTTGGCTACACTGCAACTATGTGCTTCAGGAGAAAACTGTGCCACTTCTGTAAAGCCTGAACAATAATACCCTTAATAAATAGTGAAAGCCCAAATCTGCAGGTGGTGTTCTTTACAGAACAATTATACTGGTTTATGATTTAATGGTTTCTAAGCACAGTTTAGCTAGGTTCCCCAGTCATACACGTTAGGTTAACTGCTGAATGTGACTGTGAATGATTGTCTCTCTGTTACATGGCCTGTTTATGCCCGCCGTTCTCACAATGACGACAAAAGTGACGTCACATCAACTGGTGCCGCTGCTGTCATGTCTGTTATTACTGCCACTTGAATCAGATATCAGTTCAGGAGCTCAGACGTTCCCAGATTAAATAGAGATGAAAAGGGGGAAAAAATGTGGTGACTTCTCCTCATAAACCAGCACTGATGTGGGGATTTTGGCTGAGTGGTGACACTTATCGTTCGGGAGTAAACTGTAACAAGTGGTGATGTAAATGAGTTGGAGATATGCTGACGTTACTGTTCAAAGTGACCAATGTGGTGAGCATAAATTGGCCATTAGTCCTATAACAAACTGGCAGCTTGTCCAGGGTATATCCCGACTCTTTCCTAGGGACAGCCGGGTTAGGCTGCAGCTACAGCCACGACCCTGAATTGGTGAAGTGGAAGAAAATTGATGGATGTACACAGAAGATTATCTCCTTATGTGATGCCAGGATGATGCCTTCCTGCTTTCTCTGGACAAAATATGTGTTTTTCACATGAAGTACACTTAAAAGATTACTCTCAAATTCATGCTCTCTGACATGAAAAGACAATTCAATGTACGTGTGCAGTTCTGTACAGCTGCATGTTTTCAGTGTTACTAGGCTACCCGTTTCCATATCAGAGGCATTCAAGCGGCAATAATAATTGGTGAATAAAAGCAACTGCTGTGTTTACTTACAGTAAAATAAAGATATCTGACATGATAAAGTTCAGGAATCAATTCGAGGGCTATGCGACTATGTATCGAGTGATGACTGCCTGAGGATTTAGGGATATTGTCTTATTCTGTTATGTCCTTACTGTCCCTTACTGTAATTCTGTGTCTGGAATAATTAGTTTACAAATAATTAAAGAAGCTATCATTGTGCAAAGTGCATGCTCTCACTTTTGGGACGCTCATATGGATCCTGCTGCCAAATGTTATCTTAAGTGACGGATGACAGTCCTTTTCTAGACTATGTTATCATTGGCTAGTTTTTCTTCACCTTTCACCATTTTATCAATGATGAACTATGATTGTATGCAGCTTTCTTAAAAGCTGTCATATATTGAGAACCTAAATGATTATGTTGGTTATGTGTTAGCCACACATTAGTCTTTGTATACAAAGAATTGTTATTCACAAACAGTAACAATAACATTTCAAATTGCTCATTTATAGCAAATTACAATGAAAATTTTTATTTATATGGCACGTTTCATTTCACGTAAACCTAATGTGCCTAACATTAAAGATATAAATTAAAAACCTATGTCTTAAGGGAATAAAAAAATAAAACAAAGAAAAAAAGCATGATTATTGAATTTTTTAATGGTTCTTGGAGTGTTTTTATGATTCTAAAGTCACAGCAGGCCTCCTGCTGCGCCTGTTGCACATTTTCTTTTAATTTTACAGTACCTCCATAATCTGCAGCATATATGGTACTTTCCTTTCCCACAAAGAAGAAGTTCCATGTGGAGACATTTTTTTTCAGTTGATAGCATTGTGGTCATTTAGCAATATAACATGCTCATAGTTCTGACATAAAGACATCATGTATTTCCATCAGTTATGGGTTGTTAAGACTGCTGTCTTCTTATATTTTCAAGTTCCCTTTTCTTCAGGTGATGCACTGATCTGACTGGACTGAGAGTAATTTTTGTTGTTGTCTCAGAGCCTAGCGACCGGCCCTGTCGGCTCTACCATGTCAGGACGTTTGGGGAGCCCCAGGAGCTGGTTTGGGTGGAGGACAAATCAACTCATACTTTCCATGGAGGTTTTGAATTTGAACAGCTCCTCCTACTACGGCGGAGGGGGAAACAAAGGGAGCAGAACAGCAAATACACCGTAAATACCATTTTATTAATAGCAGGACAACACTTGCATGCCTTGAGTTAAAAAAAGAACCTTCCTGGTAGATAACACAGGAAAGCTTGCACGTCCAGAAATAAAAGTCTTGCTAAGGCCAAACAGGTTATTTCTGTAAGCTGAAATATGCGCAAAGATTGAGGAGTGTTTGCTTATCTTTCTCTAGATTGCTAAGCGGTTTAAGGAATCCTGGAAGTCCAGTGTGGCAGAAGCTGAATCCATTCTTCCTGAGAGACCCAAAATGGCGTCTTCCGTGTCTTTGTCCATAGCTGATGCCTTCCATGATGCTTCCCCACTGGAAAGAGAGAATAAGACCCATCAAAACTTTCTTCCTGTCACTTCATCTGTCTCCACCCATACTGAGACGTCACACATGACCAATGGATCCATTCCATCCCCAGTAATTACACCCCCTGTTACAACGCCAACAAAGCCAAGCACTTTAAAGAAATCTTCTGGAAAGAAGAAACAGAATGAAGCATCAAAGGATACAAAAAGTAAACACTCTAAAAAGACACTGAATAATAGTCCTGACAAATCGGATAGAGACAGTGAGGAGTGCCCGTACTCTGACCTTGAGTCAGTCCCTAAAATTTTGTGTCCTAAAGCACTTGAACGTCAGCCTAAGCTAGTTCCGACTCAGCCGTCTGTTGTGGTTGTCAAAGAGGTAAAGAAGCAGCCTGAGATTCAAAGTGGTCTTTGGTTTAGCAAATCGAGCAAAGACAGGCGACCTAAAACAACCAGTCCAATGCCAGACCGCAGTCTCTTCAGTAAGGTCCCCTGTAAGAAAAAGAGCTCATCTGTTATTAGTAAAAAGACACCAGCTTCTTGTGCCTCCTCCTCTGTCAGTGCCGCCGCCAACGAGCAGTCAGGATTATCGGACAAGCAGAAGACCACTGAAACGAATCTGCCTCCTGAACAGTCAGGAAATCTAAAGTGTAAAAACACTGCTGCTGCTAATGGGCACTTTGGTACAGCTGGTGTTGTGGGTGAGCAGAAGTCTCTAGACTCTAAGGATAGTGGTTGTTCAAAGGGTAGAAAGTCAGTTGCCAGTTCAGTGGATACCATCAGTGGCACATGTGACCAGTTAAGTCTTTCAGACATTAAGAAGTCCTTAGAGGCCACTGTGAAAGATAATTTGAGTGATCTATCCAGGTTTTCAGAGAGTGCAAAGATTGTCAGTCAAACTGAACATTCTGATGCGACATCTACTAAAAAACATTATACAACTGAAAACATTGCTGAGGAGGAAAAAGAGAGCAAAAACGCTTCAGCATCCTCTTTACAAGATAAAACTACGGACCCATTAGGGTGGCTAGAAACTCAAACGAGTCTGGTCTCTAAATGTAGGCTACCCTTTGTCAAATTAATACGCAAGGACATAAAAGATAAGAAGATCTCAAACTCCAATACAACTATTCATTCCAAAGACCAACCTGGAAGCACAAAGAAAGAGAGACGATCAGATACTAACATGACTACATTGACATCCAAACAATCAAACTGGATGGATGGTCAGGGAAGAGCCTCAAAAGACGAGGTAGTCGCCTCCAAAATAAAAGTCTCAGTTAAGAAATTAAAAGCACGCGGCAAGTCAAGTATGGTTAATTTCTCATCAGAATCATCACATGAGAATATCATGACCTCAAATGTTTCCACTGAGGAGTTGGGTAGCCCAGAAACAGAGAGGATACCAGTTTCAAATGGAAGTCTGAGTACTGTGAGTTACTCATCCTCGAACCAGTCAGATCAGTTTGAAGGTAAAAAGACACCTGACTCTAATGTAACAAGCAAGTCCTCTGAACAACTGGTCAGATCAGACCAAGCAACCACATCTGTCACATCACATAGAACGACCGCGCCACCTTCTCACCAGCGTGCAAGGTTAGCATGTAGAAGAGCTTATTTTCCAGGACGTCCTTCCTCTGAGAAAACCAAGAAAGTGGCCTATAAATCAAAGCGTGGCCCAGATGAAGTGAATAAAGTCATGCACGAGCAGCCTGCCCACCTCCCGGCCAGCAGTCGGCTGATGACTAGAGCGCTGAAGGCCATGCAGGAGGCTGAGGAAAAAAAGCGTGAAAAAGTCAAAAAGGAGGCTGAACAGAAACAACCCTTGAATAATTTTAGAAAATCTGAGGACCTGAGCTGCAGTCCCAAAGCCAAATCGGACTTTTGCACTAGTAAAAAATTTCCAAAATCAAATTCTAATGACAGTGGTGAGTATGCACCTGACAGTTTTTCCAGTTGTAGCAGCCCCCATTTGATTTTTTCTGATTCCAATGACTATGACACAGATGTTAAGAGTGAAGATGAAGACCTCTCAATTCCCTCAACTCCACCGATGGACTTTATACCTCTTACTTCTAAAGCAAAGGCAAAGAAGGAGGATCGCTCCTCAGACGCATGGTTATCGCATTCACCGTCTTCGCCATTTTCTTTTATAAATGCCTTTAAAAATGTTGAAGAGGTCTCTTTTCAGTCCCTGACAAATGAAAGCAATGGTAAACCCGTTTCTTTCAAGCCAGACACAAACTACAAGTTTAGCACCTTCCTTATGATGCTGAAGGACTTGCATGACACTAGAGAGCGAGACGGTGCGCCCTTAGAACTGGAGATTGGGCCACCAAGTGCACATGTTAAGGAAGAGCCTTTAGTGATGCCAGGGGAGGCTACACCTGCAAGACAAGATCAACAATTAGATTTTGTTCATAGCATCTCAAACTCAAGTCCAGATAAAACCATAGTCGCACATAATGAGGAAGGTCCGTATCAGATGTCCAAGAGGCCCTACAACAGACGGGGTAGCTCATCCAGGTGGAAAAAGAAAGCCAATCGCAAAGTGCCTTGTCGTCGTGCCAGGTCTGGGCCTGGTTTCCCAGGACTTGAGTCAGGAATGTCGTCCATGCCAGCAAAGGACTCTTCCTCAACAGAGGATTGCTCATCAAAAAGGCCGGGCATATGGGAGCAGCCTGGAGGTGGTGAAGGAGCAGTCGTGGTGACGGAGGAGGAGAGTTGGAGCAGAGTAAAGGAGAATCTACAGATCATGGTGCCTTTGGAGCAGAAGGGGCGTGACATTGCACTGTCTTTGGAAAAGCCTAATGGGCTTGTGGACTGCACTAAGAAGAAGGCGAGCTTGACGCACAACACTGGAGAAGGTGACAAGGATCCGACAGGTAAGGAGAATTTAGTGTGGAGACCTCCACAGAGAGACTAAGCTGATGGGTGTAATATAGAAGAAAGATAATGAGAAAAACTGAATAGAAGCCAGGGAGGCAAGGGAGAGCTAAAAGCAATTGTTTTTAAAGAGGTTTTTGTGTGTCTCAAGTGCTCCCACACTAGCACCTGCTTTTTCAAGTGTGTAAATGCATTCATATTAGTGTGTTTTCATGAAGTGCTCTGCTAGAACAAGCAGAATAGTCAAAAGGTTAAGAGTAAAACCCTGAACTCTTCTCTCCGTCAGTGGTTGCCATCTTGGCTTAGTAGCAGAAACATAAGGATAATTTCAGCCAGTTGAAGGCTACATCATCAGCGTTAATTTTGATTAATGACAATTAATGACAGTCACACCATGTTTAAAGACCATTTCTCCACCTCTTGTTCATTTTTTAGAATTTTGTTTTATTCGTTGTTATAAATGCCAGTACAGATAAACCAGCTAATAGCTAAAATCCTCAATGCAAATAACCAAAATATAGATGATGTTTGTCATGTCTTTGCTGTTTTTTTGTTTGTTTGCGGGGGTTGTTGTTGTAAAGGTTGTGTCGATCAGATTAGCTCCGTAACCGTGTGTACTCGTTACCCTTTGATTACTCAATTACAGAAGTATCTCATTCTGTTTAGATTAAATATTAAGCACACTGACAAATACCTCCTTAAAAAAATAAATACTTCGTTTTCAACTGCAAATTGCTAAACGTGGCCAATATCAGTTTTAAACAATAAGATTACGTCAAGTAAAACAACACTGTAACTAAAACCTGCCATAAATGTTGCCATGAGACAGAGTCAGACTGATATCAGTGAGTGAGGCAATTAAATGCAGACGGTTTCTGATAATACAACAATTAACTGTGATAAATCGCACATCTGTCACTGACTACATAGGTAGGAATTTCTGTTTATTACATTTGTTCTCAGCAATAATCAGAATACATCCAGTTCATTTGAGTCCCCTCAAGTTGTGCTGATTGGGAAAGACTCCTTCAGACTGATGGCAACATGTTGGCAATGTGTCTGCTTTTATAAAGTAGCTAGTGAGTCAGTCCAAATTGGATTGTGACTGTTTGCAGAAAAGTTGCCTCCCATCGGGCAACCTGTGCAATCGCCTTAGAAGTGGCCATTGGTGTGCAACAGCCTTAAGGCTGGGACAACCATTTAGTCACTAGTTGCAATTAGTCACAGAATATGAAAAAAGTTCAATTAAAAAAAAAATCAGTACAATTATCAGGCAGCTCCAGATGATAATCTTATTTATTTGGTTATTTGTTATGATACATGGATACATGCTGTCCTATTTTTACTTGCACGACTGAGCCATTAGCTTTCACTGAATTAGGAGGTTGTTTTGTCAAGCTGAGTCTTGGTTGATTTTTTTAGGTTGAGTCAATTCACAAGTTTGGTCGGCTAACATTATCTGCATGTGATGAGCCCTCTTCGTAGCATTCCCAGCAGGGGCGAGTCTACAGAGGGGGAGACAAGTGCCTTGCCCCCTAGCTTTTGTTAACTCCATTTACACATAGGGGATTTTCAAATACTTCACTGAAGAGTGAAGTATTTGAAAATACATACGCCTCTTTCGTGTCCCTGTAATGGTACAGTATCATCACGCAAAATATCGTGATGCTATTCTGCATCTGTTGTTTTATTTTTCCCCAACCTTAGTTTATACAATAATGTGTATGAAATGAAAAATCTGTGTTTCTGAATAGTAAATCCTTTAACCACAGGTGTAAATCTGTGTGCACATTAAACTGCAGGTATAAAAGTAACAGTACTTTAAACTGTTAGGTTCAGTTCTGAATTCTGACTTGCCATTGAGGAATTTTTAAAAAAATATAGCAGTTCATAAAATTCTGTTTCTGCTCATGTAATGGGTAGACTACTGACATAGTTAGTCTACCAGTTGTACAAATACTAGTGCTGTCAGCGTTAATGTCGTTAAAATGACGTTGACGCCATAACCGCATTAACGCGGCAAATCTCTGTTAGCGAGTTAGCGCAAAACGCCCCGTGCGTGGGGCTGCACGGCGTCAATGCATTAGCGCGGTTAGCTCGTTAACGTGTTAGCGCAGTCCAGCCACACACACGAGGCGATCCGTTAACAACATTAACGCTGACAGCACTAACAAATACTGATGCTATCAAAGGGCTAAATAGGTCAAAAATAAATGTGTATCTATAATCTTTTTAAAAAAATAAAATTTGTCCCCTTTAGCACATAAACGAATAAGAAAACCAAGCAAGAGGATGATTGAATGGACTGAAGAGTACGACCAGATTTTCTCCGTGAGGAAGAAAACGAGAAAGCCTCTCCAGTTGATTGGAAAGGTAAAAATCACACAAAGTAAGCTCTTTTGTAAGTACACATTATTATATGAGCATAACCGTTTAGTATTAACCAGCCAGTGTAACTTTATACTGCTTCACACAACTCATGCAATCTGCTCTCTCAGGCCTCTCAACCCATTACCTCCATATCTGAACCCTCGGAGTGTGACAAGAGCATGCAAGTCCAGCCATCCTTGAACTTGCTTCCCGAAATACAGACACCACCCCCTGAGGAAATCTGTGCAACGACGCCCTCTGACCTACAAATTCCCTGCACTGAAAACACATCTTCACAAGATGCACCTGTTCTTTCCATCGACACGTTAACCCCTCCTCCTGAAGCAGAACCTTCGCTACCGGAAAGCATCGTCAAAGACAATGGTAGGACTGCGTTTGTGTGCTTTTCTTTCTGAGGACACAAGTTCAGGTCAAGTCTTTGTGTAGACTGTGGTTGAAATATTATACGGTTAACTTTAAGATTGTCCTGCATTGGCGCTAAGAAGCCTGAACCATGACCAGAAATATGCAGATGTGTTGTAGACAGCATTGTGGCCATAGGCACGGGTATCGACGTGCTCCTCTGCCATTTCAGTACTCATACCTTTCACACAGGGTCAACTTATACATGAACTCTTTTAATAAGTGGTGCTGAAGGTTCTACAAGTTAAAAGGTTCTTTCACTTGATAAGGGCAATGCTTTTAAACTTCTCATTAGTGGTCATGATTGGCTTCGACTGGTAGTTTCTCTTTGCCAGCATAAAAATAAATGTTTGACATCACTCATTGGATCAACAGAAAAGTCCTAGGAACTCAGTGAAGCTGTAAGAAGGATAATTGTAGATTTATAGAAGCTGTGGAGATCTCTTGGAGTCCTTTCAAAACAACTGCAGGTTCCATCATCAGTTCAAACAATTGTACATAAGTACAGCTTATTTGGTTAAGTCACCGCTTTGGATCTTCTGCTAGACCTTGTCAAACTGTCAGCCTCAGAGGAAATTGGTTAGGACGTTCAGGAACAACCTAGGAACTATCAAAGGCTCAAGCCTGCTGTGAACTGACAACTGGTGGAACACCAGTGAAGCCAGTTTTACATCGACACGGAGTGAGAGGGTGCCGATCAAGAAAGAAGACCGTGCTCCAAAATCAACGCCTTCAAGCTCAACTGAAATTTGCAGCTGCCCAGGTGAACAAGCCAAATGCTTTTTGGAGAAAAGTTTAAAGGTCAAAGACAAAGACTGAGCTGTTTGGCCACTAGACAAGAGGCATGTATGGAGGATTAAATGTGGAGCTGTCAAACACATAAGAAAACGGTACCAACTGGTGCATGCATGGTGGTGGTATCATTGTGCTCTGGGGCGATTTTTCTGCCTGTAGTACATTGCACAAAGTGGATGGAATAATGAAGGAGGAGGACTTTGTCTTCACCATCAACAGCTAGACGCTTGAAACTTGGACACAGTTGGGTGTTCCAACAGGACAATAAACCCAAACACACATAAAAACTGGTTTTAGAATGGATAAAGAAGGCTAACATTAGCCTTCTGGAATAGCCTTCTGAAAGTCCCGCCCTCAACCATGTTGAAAATTTGTGGACTTAAACAAATATTAGGCGAGACGTATTTATATATTTGACCCTGTGTGGATTAAAGAAAATTAAAAATATATACAAAGCCCAAAATTACCGCGACATTCATGCCGCTGATAAGCAGTAATAAACCTGTAAGCACAACTGTACTTAAAGAAAGGCAAACAGAAATGATACAAGAACTGGAACATGACAGGAATTCCCAAGAATTTGTAAGAATGAAGTTTGTGTTTTGTTTTAACAGGTTACAGTTCAGTGTGCAGTAAGCTAAGTGCTTAAAGTAAATACTGTCAGTAACACTGTAAAATGAGACCAGCTTAAGGTGACTGGTTAAACAGGAGCTTTAACCAAATGAAGAGAAAATATTGTATTAAGCTTTATTCTTGTGCCAGTAATCTCATTACTGTAAACTATCAGTTATTATTAATAAAGCACTAGTTATTCACATATTTACACATACACAAGTATTTTAAGCACTTCCTGTCGAGCACACATAGATACAGTCAGAAGAAATGTGGATTCATGCAGACCAGGGGAATAAACCACTGATGACCTAACCTACCTCCTGAGCCACACACAGCTGCTGCAAATGGCTTTTTAATGTAGGAAAAACCTTGAGAGTATTCCACAGAGAACCAGTCACTTTCTGTTCTGTAGCAGGCAGATAATAATCTAATATGGACTGAATTTACACTTTACAGTCAGTTTTTATCATCACTTATGTTGTTTGGTTAGTATCCACTGGTATACACAGTATTCACTGCTGGTTAATGCTAATCTGGCTGTGACACTTGTTTTTCCAGGAAGCGCTCCTGTGCTGGAGAAGAAGCGCAAAAGAAAACCCACTCAGAAGATCCTGGAATACTGCCTGGAGGCCGAGGCATCAACAGGCCTCAAGAAGAAGGTACAGCATGGATGTTTATTCAGTGTACATTTATTCGTTTGGTGTAATGTATTTGTACTGTGATGTGCCAGCTTATAAGATAGAGCTGTACATTTTATTTAGCACAAAAAAATCCATTTACCTTCATAAAAGCATTACATCAGATTAGATGTTACTGAGTTAGCAATAATAATTAAGAAGAAAATCTTAGTTTCCTCCTATAGTATCAGTAGTACAGTGCCATGAAAAAGTATTTATTCCATCCCCGATTTCGTAGTTTTTTGCACACTTGTCATACTTAAATGTTTCAGATCATCAAACAGATTTTAATATTAGACAAAGATTGACATCTGTCAGTCTGGAAAGGGTTACAGAGATATTTCCAAGGCTTTGGGACTCTGGCAAACCACAGTGAGAGCCACAGATGAAAGAAACTTGGAACAGTGATGAACCTTCCCGGAGGTGGTCTACCAAGACACTAATGACTCCCCAAGGATGTCACAAAAGAACCTGGAACATCATCTAAGGAACTGCGGGCTCAGTTAAGGTCAAAGTTCTTATGCAAATATAAGAAAGAGACTGGGTAAAAATGGCATCAATGGGAGAGTTCAAGAGACACAGAAAACCACTGCTGACTAAACAGAACATAAAAGCTTATGACTCATTAAAAGTACTCTTATTATACAGGAGGAGCAAGAAGTCCTCTAAATGGCCAAAAAAGAAATAAAATGAAGGTTTTGGAGTACCTGAGTAAGTTCAGATGCTTTGGCCTGACCTTAAACAGGCCGTTCATGTAATTGGAATTAAAATTCTGCAAAGAAGAGTGGACTAAAACTCCTCCACAGTGATCTGAAAGACTGATTGATAGTTATCAACTACTTTACAAAGTAGTTCTTGCTGCCAAGAGTGGCACAACCACTTGTTACGGGTTATTACTTTTTCACACAGGACACAGCAGGTTTGGATAACTTTTTCTCCTTAATAAAAGAAATAATCATTTAAAAACTGTTACTCCATGACTCCAAGACAAAATTAGTGGTCAAAGCTCTCATTATGTTATCCAGCAAGACATTGTTTTTATTGCAAGCTGTAATGCAAATAAGTATAAGGAAAATTTTCAGAAATGCACCAGTGGGAGTGGAAAGTTCCTTGGGTGATCTACTAACACTAACACTTTGTGCATGAACACTAATTCATACACAAAGATGCAGTAGGTTTATTGCGATAATTGTGAGCAGCATGGATTAGTGACTTAGAAACAAGCGCACCCGATGAGGGAGTGCAAGGGAGCGTTTAAAGCCCTAACAAAAATGAATCGTAAGTTAGGATTTTACAGGTGTTTCTCTCTGAAAACAGTGTGGCAGTTACGATACATGAGAGGAGGCTGAAGGAGAGAATGCTTTACTATAACTGTGAACTCATTTGTTAGAAATAGGTGGGAACTGTGTGAGGTCCTGAGGCCTGAATCTCAGTTTGGAGTATAGGATTTTTCTGCACACCATTCAGGTCAGCTGTAGCGCAGATTTCAGGTTTATAGGGTGGAATAGTTTCTCCTCTGGATGAATCCTGCCTCCACCTGAGCTGTGAGAGATATCTCTGATGATCCAAGGTGGAGAGAGTTGTAAGCAGCATGAAAGAACTGATGATCTGATGGTCAGACAGATGACTTTACCTTCCTAAATTCAGTCTGATGCTTGGTCATAGTTGATGTTCAGTTATGGTCAAATAATAGAAACTTGTGTAGGGATGTTTGATTGGCCTCCGGTCACAAACATAAACACCGGTTGAGTGTTTCCAGTCATTCCAGCATTTAAGAGATGATGGAGGGTTAATCCTCCCACACGTGTTTAGTTAAGATGTTTAGTTAAGCGCATCTAAACACGCATTATGTTAAGAGCTTCTTAAAGTCTGGGGCTTTCAAATAATGAAGTGTATTAAGTTTTGTGTAAGCTTTGCTTTGAGTTATAAATAACAAACATAAGTATAAATAATACAAGTAAAGGATTTATGCTGTGGAGATGAAGCTGAGACTATGAGATGATCAGATTATTTCAGATTATTGTGTAGTTAAAAAACAAACAAACAGATAAACAATTTTATAGAGCCAAAAGTGCCTTTAAAGATTAAAAGAGAAGAGAAAATTTGTTTTTAATTGAATTTATTTGTTTTTAAATTGTATTCGTTTTTAAGAAAAACAAATATTTTATTTTAAACATCACTCACCTTACATTCAATCTCAGCTAAGAAAAGAAGTCCGTGACCTTCAAAAACAAAATAAAACTTTGACAGCGTGTAGTTCTTCCCTGATCCTCTGTGTTCTAAAGAAGTATCACTCCTAAGAATGTCTTTAGAACTGATATCGTGTAGATGAGCACCCCCAGTTTCCCCAGCAAGAGATGCGTGGAGCCTCTACTTGAGGTTGAAGTTTCTCCCAGAACTCTCTCGTGGTCTTGTTCACAAGTGAGACAAGACGGAGATGGAGATCAACAGATGGACTGGTGCATAAATCCAGTTTTCTGTGGTAAAGCGAGAGCAGATTAAGATCACAAATACGAGTGTCGAAAAGGCTCTGAAGAGAGGCTGGGCTCACCTTTAGAGACAGGACTCAATCACTCAGGAGGGGCTCAGGGTACAGCTGTTGACTCCACATCGAAATGAGCCAGTTGAGTTGGATCAGCCATGTGACTAGGATGCCTCCAGGACATCTCCTAGATTAAGTGTTTTGGGCTTGTCCTACATGCTGGGGGGATTATGTCTCTCCACTGGCTTGGAATCTTTGTGTCCCCCGAGAAGAGCTGGAGGAGGTGTGGGCATTTCATCTCAGACTGATGCCCTTTCCAACTTGGCTGGAATAAACGATGGATGGATGGGCATGGATGGAGTATTCTAGCCTTAAAATGCTTTTGAGAATTGCAGATAAGAGCTACAAACAAAGCAAAAAAAGAAACACTTGAGCTAGACTTTTTTTTGTTTGATAGACTAAAACAATGTTGGTTTAACTGCAGTCATTTTTGACAGTGTTCCCTCTTTGTTCCAGGTCAAAACACTGAAGACTAATCCACCTCCAACTCCTCAATCTGGTCAGTGAGTTTTCGTAAAGCCTTCTAAATTACACTGTAGTGTGCGGTATCTCATCCAGGACTACTTTTATTTAACTTAACAGTAGGTAGCAGGCCTATATCTGTATTAGAGGCAGGCTTATAAAGACATGCTTGATCAGAGGATTTTTACTCATCTGCCACTTTTTCTTCTTCTCCTCCACTTGCCCAGTTTTCAACTCTTTGGGAATCACCTTAATAGTGTAAAAATACAATTTTATGTCTGTGTTATCTTTGGTATTTTCCATAGTTTTTATTAAAGAAATGAGAACAAATAGTGTTTTTGTGACAGACCGCTAGTAACAAAGTGTCCAGAGATACAATTTAGAATTAGAGCTTTACTATATTATCTGTTATATGTCGACACGACACACATCATCCCCTAAGTTTTGTATATTTATGCTTGACTGACTCATAGGTCAGTGTTAGTGTTGGCTTAGAAAACAAACAAACAAAACATGAGTGGAAAAGCATCAGATTTAGAAAGGAGAAAATATAATAAGTAATTAAATGTTGTAAATGAAATAAAATAATCATTGTGTACATGTTAAATCTATAAAGTGTAATTACATTATTAGTTCAGTGGATTTCAAACATTTTATGACACAGAAGAAGAAGAAGTTAACATAAAAAAACTTCCAAGTCACCAGATTTTCTTTTTTCCTTGTAAATTAAATTTGGGAAAGCAGCCAACTAAAATACACTCTAAGGAGTCCAGATGAATTTACAGCCAAGCGTATTGAATCTGCACAGTTAATGTAATTTAATATGATGCTAAGAGGAAGTCCTTGTTGTTATGAGTTGAAAATCTTGAAAAGCTCGTTTTTCTGTCTTACTGTTTCAAATATGGTTTTCTTCCACACAGACTGCTCAGCACCACCCCTAAAATCAAAGAGTAAGCCGCTTCCAGCATCAGAGTCCACACCGGCGACGACCTCTGACCTCTGTACACCCACACCTTTGGTTCAGACCAGCACTCCTGCACCTTCTGCTCCAGAGCAGTCTTCGCCAGAACCCGGACAGGAGGAGACGGCACCAGCTGATGTCGACGATCCTCAACCGGACGACGGTAAAGCCGAGGACATCAAAAAGGACGGAGCAGAGTCAGAGGTTGGTCAGCTTTACTTTTTTTTACGTACAGTAATAGTTAAAATTGTTGCTATGCAACAGCAAAGTCTTGCTTTGTCTCCTCAGGGTGAACCATCCAGCCTGGACAACAGTTTCTGCTCCATGAAGGACGACTTGTCACTGTGTGACGACTCACTTTTACCTACGAGGAAGATCATAGGGGACCGAGGAGGCCCGGCTTCCATGAAGGAGAACATATGTCAGGTGAGCTTTCAGCAGTTTAGTGACTTTATGGTTAGATCTAAACAACAGTTGGCAGACATTAGATGTTTTCCTCTAAAAACTCTGAAGCCTTCATATCCACCTCGCAAACCATGCATACATAAGACGTAAAGTCCCCTCTCTCTGAGTCATTCTAGTTATGCTATGATCTCTGCTCAGGTGTGTGAGAAGACCGGGGAGCTGCTGCTCTGTGAGGGTCAGTGTTGTGGCGCTTTCCACCTGCCCTGCATATCTCTGGCCGAAGCACCGAAGGGGAAGTTTGTCTGTCCAGAGTGCAAATCAGGTAAAAACTTAACAGCTGTTCCCTGATGTCAGTAGAGCCTATAATTTAATTCTTGATATGTGAATTTTCCAAATGTAAAAATCACTACAAAATGAAAGGTCACACTGTAAAGTCTAAAGATGTTCTAGCATAAGAAACATCCAAGCGTTTGGATATTTCTTCACTTCCCATGTTGCCTTAATCCACAACGGGTTACCACAGTGGGCGGACTTTTATTTTTTATTTTTTGTGTCTTCTCCCGGGATCAAACTGGGAATCTATGTAAACCACTACACATAGACCACTACACAAATTTATTTATTGTTATTATTTATTTATTATTTTTAGTTTTCAAAATTTTTCTTTATTTTTGGTTTCAATTTTATTTCTGTTTGTAAGACTTTTTAGTCTGTTTTGGCAATCATTAAATAATTTTTTTTAAAATAATATTTTTAAACAATGCCTTTCATATTTGCCATATTATTTATTTCTGTTCATACAATGGAAAAACGTTTCCAAAGATTTGACATTTTTAGTATTGAAATCATGTCTAGCATGGGAAGTTTTAAACAAATAGTTCACAATTAAAAACAGATTTAAAAAGAATTGTTAAAATAATCATAGTTTTATTAGGAATTATAGTTTTATTTAGATATATTTTCCCAGTCATTTGTGTTCATTGCATTCTGGAAGCGATTAGAGGGAGAACTGAGGCCACTTATTATCTGCTGTTTTCATTTTGTTAAAT